TATTATATTTTATTATTATTATCATTATTATTATTATCATTATTATTATTATTGTTAAAACTTTGCTGCGCTGATGGGCAACAACAGTGGGCGAACTAAAGGACGGCGAAACATCATTCTCGCTATATATAGACGAGTGGGCACACCACATTTCCCTGCTTGCTTAGTTTAGTTTTAGTAAGAGTTTTACAGCACTTGCAGCACAATAAGGAAGTAACAAACATAACAAAGAAGAAGGGGAGATAAAGATAGTAGATGTTTGATAAGAAAGTAGGAGCAAACCACACCAGAACACCCTCCAACCACCCACCCCTACTTGCCCTTCATTTGGTTGGTTCCAAATGGAAATAGTTCTAATAAAATATAAGCTCCATGGTGCCCCGGAATTTTGTCAGAGTCGACGATCTAGGATATTACAATATTATAAGTCTATGGAATCACGACACGACTTTTTGCCACCCTAGAATTACAGAGTTCTATCTGCTCAGTACACAGATCTAGTTTTGAGAAATTCGACGTAAAAAAAAAATGGCGAGTTTCACAACATGTCAAGCTTTTTCGAATGTTGCAATTCTTTGAATATCTTGATAACGACTCCGAATAATCTTACGATTTTGACGGAGCAGATATTATCACATTTGATATTTAGCCTCATGGACTTAGCAACTCATAGAGGCCAAAAAATGTCAGACAGAACTTTATACTTCTCAGGGAGCGACATGGTGGAACTTCCAGAATTTAAACAAACAAAAAAACTTGAAAAGAAATGAGATACATCACAAGTTTTCTTTGATCTTAAAAGGTTGTATTTCGTTTACAGTCAACGAAATAAGAAAAAAAATTAACAATTATTTTGCAGTGAGAACAACTGAAAGTCATCCACATTCCTTGCAACCCATAGGGCTCGATTGCACATTTCAACAAAGAAAAATCAACAGTGTTATTTCTATAATAATAATAATATGTACAGCATTCACAGAAAAATCAACAGTGTTATTTCTATAATATGTACAGCATTCACAAGCAATCTTTTGAAGATGAACATTCAGGTACAGTTGAGAATGTGAGGTAAACGTAATGTAACAGTTTTTTAAAAATTA